TTTTTATATTCGAATCGTCGACATCATAACAATACGTATTTCGAGAAGTTGTTATCTCCGACCGAGCTCTTCCCAGGCGTTCACAGCGCGGTGCTCATCACGTCCTACGAGGGAGCTCATAAAACGCACTCTTCGTTGTCAGTTTTGTCGCATTTCTCCCGCTATTTCGGAGCGTTAACACGAGGCTTCCAAGTTCTCAGGAGAGTCATCTGTCAACTCCTTAAAGTGTCCGAGTGAGAAGTATGAGCATATTCTCGAAGTACCAAAAAAAAACGGACACTTTTCACACGGGGTATTTCGGAATGATCAGAGGACTTCGCTTGGCCGTGACGTATTTGGTTTTATTAGGCAAGGAGGGAAAAAAAGGAGATTTTTGTATCCCGGTCCATCCAAATTCAAAAGAACCTTGGATTTTATGAAGTCTGGTTGAGTTAATTAAAATCCCATGAAACATAAGTGATCAGTGTCGACTGGCATTGAAGAAAGAGAAAGACATTATAGACAGATAGATAGATAGATACAGATATATAATTCGACTTCCCTACCCTATATATTCAAACTAGTCTACAGGAACCCCAGTATTCTTTTCTGTCGCTGGACCCTTCCTATAACCATAACCACAGCAAACGTACAAAATAAAATTTGCCGAAACGCCTTATTGAATCAATCTAACCATCTCCCTCTAACCCCCATCACCAAAAAACAAAACAAGAAAAAAACACACCCTGCTCACGCTTTCTCACGAACGTATAAACAGAAAGAGGAAAGAAACAAAGTCAGACGCAGCTCAAGTGGAAGGCGACCTACACATACATTCCACAAGGACCCGGTTGCCTGCGGGGCCAATACAGCCTCGATTAAGTAAGGTGGAGCGTGACCTCGTTGGCACTCCGGGGCGCTGCTGGATTATCTTTGATCTCATCTGATGTAATAACACTTATAAGGCTACCATTACCGTTATCAATATCAGTATTAGCATTGCTGTGACCACAATTATAGCTGACTCGATTAGTATTATTAATACTACCAATATTATTACTGTTATCAGTAATGTTCTTGCGTTTTATTGTCAATATTCTCATATCATAATCATTGTAAGTACTGCTTTACGACCAACATCACTTTTATTCTTATTATTACCACCAGTATTATGATTATCATTATAAGTACTATAACTAATAATACATTACTGATATTACTTTTGTTAAAAATATTATTTGATCTTTAGTAACATTATCTATATTGATCAGTATTATCACTCATAGCAACACTTTATCATTATCACTGTTACTATCATTATCACTACTCATCACCATCGTTATCATGTTCGTTATCACTAACACTACACCTGATATCTCATTATCATATATACGGCTGCTGTTGTCACCCATGCCTTCTATTGTCATTATTTACTTCAACCTTAACTCATCATTATTGTCGGCATTTCAAGCATCATCATCATCATTATCATCATCATCCTAATCACCATCTTCACCACTACTTTAGCATCACCACCATCGCCTTCATAAACACTGACATCATCAACATTCTGATCATGATCTTTGCTGCTGCCGTTATAGCCACCGTTATATTCGATACAAAAACACATAACGCAATCAAGACAACAACAAAAAAAAAAAAACACGAACAATAATAAAAAAATAAAAAAAACAAAGATAACAGCGGAGACATCACTCAACCCACTTAACAACCTGAACGCCAACCAGCAACCCGTCAAACCAACCAACACAACACAATATTGACCCAAAAGGAAGTAAACTACCTTCTTCGATGCGTCTGGAACAAAATCTCCCGTTTCCCTTTACGACCGCCAAGCAAAAAAGCCCCGGGGGTGTCAGCGTGCCTTCAGAGCAGCTTCCTAGGGATGTCAGCGCCTTCAGAGCAGCTTCCTGGGGATGTCAGCGCCTTCAGAGCAGCTTCCTGGGGACGTCAGCGCCTTCAGAGCAGCTTCCTGGGGATGTCAGCGCCTTCAGAGCAGCTTCCTGGGGACGTCAGCGCCTTCAGAGCAGCTTCCTGGGGATGTCAGCGCCTTCAGAGCAGCTTCCTAGGGATGTCAGCGCCTTCAGAGCAGCTTCCTGGGGATGTCAGCGCCTTCAGAGCAGCTTCCTAGGGATGTCAGCGCCTTCAGAGCAGCTTCCTGGGGATGTCAGCGCCTTCAGAGCAGCTTCCTGGGGATGTCAGCGCCTTCAGAGCAGCTTCCTGGGGATGTCAGCGCCTTCAGAGCAGCTTCCCGGGGGTGTCAGCGCCTTCAGAGCAGCTTCCCGGGGGCACGAGGCGGGGGGGGGGGGGGGGGGGAGCGGGAGGCGGCGTCTCGCAACAAAGGGGGAGAGGCGGCGATCGTGATCATGAGCAGTAAAAGAGGCAGATGCAAATAGCTCCGTCCCGTTAAGCGCGTGTAATTAAGGGAGTGAGTGCTGTCCGCCGCCTCGGATCCGCCGGTTTTCCCCGCTCTTACTTTCTTCCGCTCTTTCTTTGCTTTCTTTCTTTATATTGCTCTCGTTTTTTTTTTTCTTTTCTCTGTTTTTTATTTCTTTCTTTCGTTCGTTCTTCATTTCATTTCGTTTTCTCTTTTGCTCTTCCCTTCTTGCGCTTATTCCCTCTTCTGCGAATATTTCCTCTCGTTCTTCTCTTCATTTTTTGTTTCGTTTTTCCTTACTACTCTTCCGGTCTCCCCTCTTCCTCCTCTCTTCCTTTCTTTCGCTCATTCCTTAATCTCTCCAATTCCACCAATCGCTCTCCCCTCTTCCTTCCTCTTCTCTTCCTTTCTTTCGCTCATTCCTTAATCTCTCCAATTCCACCAATCGCTCTCCCCTCTTCCTTCCTCTTCTCTTCCTTTCTTTCACTCATTCCTTAATCTCTCCAATTCCACCAATCGCTCTCTTCCCTCTCTTCCTTCTCTCTTCCCCTCGTTATTCCCGTCTTCCGTGGCCCGTGGGGATGTCCTCGGCGGCGGCGCTCTGTCCTCCCTCTCGTCCCCATAAACAGAAACATCCCCCGGACTGACCCTCGAGCGGGACATACCTCCTGCTTCGAGGCCCTTCCCTCTGGGGGGGCGTGGCGCCGTGAGGCCATACCTAGTGTTTTCGAGGGGG